TTTTTCAAGTTATGATCAACATACTAGAAATAATTTTTAATAAAAATAACAACTAGATCACATGAAATTTAGAATTTATAAAGAGTCCGGCAACAAAAAGCTATCCAAGAATTAATTCTTGAAGGAAGAGGAGATGTGATGGCAATAGATTATTAAAAGAGGGAATGGAATAGTTTAGAATGAGTGGTGAAAATTGATTGATTAATTGATTGTATGTTATTGGATAGTTGGGTGGATGAATTGTTGTTGATTGGGGGTATGGTTTGATGGGAAAATGTATTAATTGGGTGGATCATGTAAGAATAATGCAATTTTATAAAGAGAAAAAGAAAGAATTAAGAATAAAGTTGCTTGGAAGATTTGGAGAAGAAACAAAGATTCAATAATAACAAAATATTGCTGATAATAAACACAATGAAAACATTTTGTTTTTTTATTTATTTCATTTTTAATAATATTAATATTAATGAATTTATAATTATCTATATTTATTTGTTTACTCATTATTATGATGGTTGTGGTGATTATTATTATTCTATTTTCTTCTTTATGCTCCTCCACTATTTTTAAAGAAAAAAAAGAAATTTAATATATAATTTAATTATTCACCAATGTAATTGATTTATTATAAAATGATGATAATACATACACAAGAATATTATTAATTGGAATATGAACTAATTTTACAAAAAATCCAATAAATCCCATTACAAAAAATCCCATTGCAACTGCTTGTGAAATCTTAATGAATTCTTTATACAATAATAATAATAATTATTATTATTATTAAATAGTTATTCTTATCATTCATATTATATTAATTATTAAATTACCTTTACGATCAGGTTTAGTGCATCGATTTACAAACTGAGTGCCTTCTTTGATAAATTGTTTTGGCATTTCAACAAATTCTTTTAATTGATCTGCCATCTTTATTATTGTGGTTGTTATTATTGTGTTGTTTTTATTTATACTAGAAATAATAAATGTTTATTATAATTAATTTATTATAATTTAATAAAATAATATTTGTTGTAAAATTTTTGAGTAGGAAAATTTAAATATCAAAAAAAAACATTTATATAATAATAATTTTTTAAATTAGTAAAACCACTCAAATCTTGCCACAAGGTTGGAAATTTAAATCGTGTAATAATATTAATAATGTACACAATGCAATTTTGGTTTTAAATGTGCGAGTGATCTTGTGTATATATATATATTAATACACATTTATTTTTTATGCGAGAAGATGATCAAATTAATACATGTTTATTAAATTTTTTAATTGATTGTAGATCATGCTAAAATATAAGACGGACGAGTCCACTGAACCAATTCTAACTTGATACCATTGCCTTTTTTTTGGTTGTCTTCTCTTGAAAACCTTCTTTTTATTTATATCTTATTTAATTACTAACATAAATACTCTTAATTTATTCATTCACCTTTAATTTTATCCTATTCTCCTTTTCCTCCAAGTAAATAATCTTATTTATTATTGCAATGTCTTCTGTGCCTTCTGTACAACAAATTACTTCTAAAGAGATTCTCATAAAAAAGGCAAATTCTGGTACATCCATACCAGCAAATTAT